GCGCAAATTCCCTAAAATATCAAAGGAGTTTAGTCATTAATCATTTAGCCGTTTTGTGAGTTCGATCGATTTGGTAATTAATTACTCAGTTATTCTGCAAATATGCAATAAATATTGCACGTTCATTGAGAATTTATTATCACCGTTCAAAATGATTCAACGGTAATAATTAAAAGAAATAAATTACAATCTCGTAATTTATAGATCAATATAATTTTCACCGGGCAATTTCGATATCGATGAAAATGTGAGACGTGAAAAATCTCTCTTATTACGTATTAGATAATTTCAACCAAGTAATTTCGATAAACGCGAACGCGTAAAAATGCAATTAGACGGCTCGTGTTCAGCCTCACGATATAATAAACGAGAATGCTGAACTATTGAGAACGACAATTGCACGATTGTTCTGTCGTTTCTTTCGTCGTGGCAGAACAAACGAATACATGATTCTGTCGCGACAGTGTCTCTATGAATAAACTTACAAACGTTCGTGATCTTTTTTTCTTTTCAAAGGCAGAAGCATCTTTTTCTTCTCTTCGGTTTAAGAAAGTTACAACTACACGGCAGAAGTGTGCTTAAATTGGGAACAATGCCAATTAAAAGTTAAAACATGTAAAACTTTTCAATTCCAAAGAATCGCCTTTTAACGCGATATTGAAGCGAAAGTATTGTAGGAAATAAAGATGCAAAACGTAGGAATTTTTGCTAGGGACGTTGAAATTCCTCGACGCTCGAAAACTACGTACTTTTTTTCATACTTTTTTTACTTTCTTCGCCATTCGAAACTCTCAAAGTTCAGACAAGAAAAGAATTAGAAAAAAGCTTTGTATTTTCTGGAATGGAGTAGAACCGGTATAATGCAGAAAGAAATGCAAGAAGAATTCCTTCTCATTAATAATATATCATAGGTACATTCGTTATATCTTATTTTTCAAAATTAAAAAAAATTTTTTTTAATAAATATATATGTATAATAAATTTATAAATTTACAGTAATCTATTTTAAAGGCAGTAAATTATAAAATTGCTTCTATTGTCAATTAATACTGAAATCATAATTTTAGAAATAAAACATGATTGACACATAATTGAAAGAAAATAGAGTTACTGCTACTACTAGATTCCTTACTAGAAACAAATAAATGACGTTTTCTAAAAAAAAACTGTTCAATGCTTTCGAAAGGGAGACAAGAGAAACGTATTTCTCTCTCATTCGTACAAGAATCGAATAATATATTTTGAATTGAAAGCAAACGAAGTGATTACTCCTTACTGGACAATATCAGGCCAATCCGAAGTCTTAATCACCTGCGCTGGCAAACTGATTGCGGACCATAACGAGTGGCCAAACCGTATACGATAATTCGTATAATAATAACACTACTGGATAGAAATTATTGCGAGGCAATAAATTTATTATTTGTTTCGTCTATTTTCTTTCACTTGAACATACTTAGAAACCGAGGAAACTTTGGAAACAAAAAATTCTCGACGTGCACGAGAGGTGTAATTGTAAGCAGGAAAGTAGCGGCCACGCTGACAAAGAGTAATCCGCGAGTTTCTCGAGAAGGGACAAGGCTAATTTCCCGGAAGGTAAGTAACAACGACCGAACGAAATCGGCCGAGTCCGTTTTCCCAAAAGGATGGCTGGATACCTGGGCCGTAAAAGGCTCCTCGCTTTGTATCGGTCGTTCATTTTCCGACCGCCTGAAGCTATTCTGTAAACGAAAACGAAGTGTCGTTAAGTTTGGCGGAGCGACTGCGTTGCGGCTCAGCCTTACCGGTCCCTTGCCCTCGGAACGTTGCCAAAGCGTCGCGTTAATCTCGTTCCTATTCGCGCGAGATACTTTCACCCGAGGGGCCTCGGCGAGGGAACGCGTTCCTACGGGAACAACCGTTCCAGCCGGGCGAAACCGAGGTGTAAAGCGCGGTTTCGTTGCACACACACTTCCGAAACCGACGCGAGTATTTTCGTCGAGACTACAACAGTCTCCTCCTCTAACTCCCACGTGTACATTGTACACGTTCCCTTCCAGCATCCCCTGATAGACTTTGTTGCCTTTCACGAATGACAAAGACTCGCCTTTCTCGCGAGGAGTTATTTTAAAAAAAAAAAAAAAAAAAAAAAAATCGGAAACGACAGATAGTCGCAAAAATCGCGCAGAGTGCACACAAGGTCCGAAGAAACTCGAAGTATTACTAATATACATACGTACTTACACGTGTACTTACACGTAAAGTGGAAGAGCGATCAAGGTTGTTCTCCTTGACTGTTCCTCCTTTTTCGTACAACTTTCCTCGTTACTCGCCGGAATTCGCAGAGCGTGAACCCTCTGTGGTTCGGTGCTCGTCATTTGCGGTCTGACGAGAAACTCTAAGAAGAAAACTTGCAGCTATGTACAATCGAGAGAGACGAGATACGTAGGTACATAAGTCGGGGAATGGGAAACACGTAGGACAGAAAAGAAAGGAAAATTGTTGACCTTATATATTTCACTCTGTTTATTATTTTTCGTCAGTTAGCTTTGGTTCGCGTGTCCCGACACACCGCGAATCGATCCGCCTCGATTCTCGCAGCGTGTCATCCGTGTCGGAAGTAGTTCACTTCGTTCTTTTGTTCTTGTTGCACCTTTTGACATTCCCCCGTTCCAAAGTCCCTGACATCTTGCGCTTTTGTGTTTCGCCGTGTTTCACCCGCTGCCTGGCCATATTCGTAATAGCAGGGAGCATCAGACAGATGTCTTCATTGCCCTGCTCCGCGTCGATGATAATCCTATGATGGCCGGATGTGCTCAGCGCGCTCAGACGTATCGTTTCCCCTTCCGAGTTCCTCTTTTGCTTTTTTCTCTCTTCTTCTGTCTTTTTCTTTTCTTTTTCTTTTTTCTTGTCTTGTTCTTTTTTTCTTGTCCTCTTTTTTAAAAGACGAAACGTGGAAATACTTAGCCCTTGAGTAGACTTTCAAAGGTCTTACAGACCTTGGATAATGTCACGTGTTATTATGTGTAAATGAAGATATATCTCAAATTCAATTGTCCTTGCTATATTTGTACTACTACTATGTATGTTATATTGTCCTTACTATACTTGTACTACTACTATGTGTATATTATATTGTCTTTACTATACTTATACCACTACTATGCGTATTGTCCTTACTATACTTATACCACTACTATGTGTATTGTCCTTACTATACTTATACCACTACTATGTGTATTGTCCTTACTATACTTATACCACTACTATGCGTATTGTCCTTACTTAACCACTACTATGTGTATTGTCTTTACTATACTTATACCACTACTATGCGTATTGTCCTTACTATACTTATACCACTACTATGTGTGTTGTCTTTACTATACTTATACCACTATTATGCGTATTGTCCTTACTATACTTATACCACTACTATGTGTATTGTCCTTACTATACTTATACCACTACTATGTGTATTGTCCTTACTATACTTATACCACTACTATGTGTATTGTGTCCTTACTATACTTATATTACTACAATATACATATATATTGTATTGTCCTTACTATACTTATACAATGTATATAGTGCACTTGTGTACTACTAATAAAGTTCCAAGTATAATTGAACAACAACGTTCCAAGCACAATTGAGAAACACAAAGGCAAATAATTTATACCCAATAAGCAATATAATCTATAGTAATTAAACTGGTAGTATAATCAAAAATTATATTCATTATTATGATCGAAAATTCTTCGTATCCAACTCGCTATTACGAAATAATAAACAGACATTAGGGATCCAGTGTGACAACTTGTTACTTAAAAAAAAAGAAGCTACTAAATTTCCACAAGGCCCAGCAATTTGCAAAATCGGCTGGAATCGAAACGTTTCTCCATCGAAATCGAATTATTTATATCCGAATCGTGATGAAATTTCATCGCTCGCGGAAAATGTTCGGCAATGCTCTCCTTTCCTTTTCCTTCTTTTTCTTTTTTTCTTCTACCGCTCGCAGAAGAATTGTTCTGAAGTTCCCTCAATATAACCGATATCGATCGTCGAACTTTCCTTGTTAGCACGTTTCTTATTTCATCTCTGGCCCTCGTCAGCTGGCCCGGAGATTTATATTCGTGTCCCGAATTGTAAAAAACTTCACGAAAAGTTCGTTCACGCCCGGCTAATATCGTTCATTCCGACCTCCGCTCTGTTCTCCCATTTTTGTTTCCGTTCCCTCCGCCGATCCTACACTCTCCGTTGCGTTCCATTTTCTTAACCGCACGTACACTCAAAATACACGAAAGTATTTGAAACACATGGTATACTTACAACATGGAAATGGAGATGAGAGATATTTTTTAAATTTCCATATACGAGCACTTATATGTATTAATTTTATTACCGAATACCGTCATACAATCATTCGTCGCTTTCTTTCTCGGCGATATCGTGCCGACGAGTTCGAGAGAAAAGGAAAGCGACGAATCATTGTATACGGTTGCGGTCACTCGTTATGGTCCGCGATCAGTTGCCAGCGCAACGTGGTTAATAATTTTTCCTACAAGCTTGCAATCGTTATTCGATAGAAGAGGAAAGCGACGAATCATTTGTATACGGTTGCGGTCACTCGTTATGGTCCGCGATCAGTTGCCAGCGCAACGTGGTCAATAATTTTTCCTACAAACTTGCCAGTCGTTATCCGCAGTCGGAAAAACATTTTAATTAAAAAAAAAGAATAATAATCGTCCTATAACTTTCTTTCATTCTGATTGTAACAGTTATGATCTCTGATACTCTGCCTTCTCACCCCTACCTGGATTATTGCGCGACCCCATCGTTAACGTGGCCATCGTCATCGTAGTTGGACCTTTCACGTTCGGGGGTTCACGTTTCGCTCGCAGCACCGAAAACTCATTTCCACCCTCCTGTCCCTGCTTTTTTTTTTTTTTTTTTTTTTTTTGTCGTCCAAGCCCGTCACCGTGGTATCGATTTATTGTTTGTTCCTGTTACAGGTCCTCCCGGTGAGCCAGGTCCTCCTGGAAAAAGGGGGAAAAAGGGGAAAAAGGGTGACCCCGGGGAACCAGGTCCGCAGGTGAGTAGATTCGTTCCTTCGCTTTGCTTCAACCCCTTTTCCCTTCTTCTCTTTTTGTTTTTTTTTTTTTTTTGTTCCTTTACTCCTTACTGCACCCCGTAGTGCACCCGTGGAGTGTGCGTGTTGTCGGAGTGTAGCGGAGAAGCATGATGTAGCTTGCTAACGATAAACGCCATACTCGTGGTCTACCCGAATTGGTAACTGCCGGCACACACGGTATGTACGCAAGTATTTTCGATCGGGTATACGCGTACACTTGTTACGAAGGAACGCGATGCTCGGCTCGTTAATTGTATTAACGCTTTGAGCACCATTAGGTTGCCGCGTGATAAATATCGTTTTTCGGCCGATCCTCGTTTCGGTCAATTTCAAATGTTATTTCCGTCGAGGCGTGCCAGCCTCTGGTGAATCTTCTCCGTTTGAACAAACACCCGACTAGTAACTAAAACGCATTTGCATACGTGATCGTGTTACGCCCGGCGAACGCCATTTTTATACGAGAATTTCAAGATTGTCGATGTTTCTCTTTATATTTTACGATATTTCCTTAAAACGAATGTAATCCATAAATATTGCATATATATGTTATATAATAAATATCAATAAAATAAAAATAATAATAAAAATATATATATAAATAATATTATATTATATTATAATTAATAAATAATATTATAACATTATTTATTAATTATAATATAACTATATTTACTTATAATTTTGTGTTTTCATTTATTCATAATTTTGTCCATATATACTATAAATTATATACAATATAAATAAAAACAATATAATATAATATAAATAATAATATATCATCGTACAATATACTATAAATAATAATGTAATATCATATAACATGATATAATAATATTGAAACGATCAACAAAGATTAGTTCAAGATCGTGAAACCACGAGAACGAGAAAGTGTACATACTTAGCCGCGTTTCGTGAACGAGAGCATCGAACGAATCACTTTGCCCTTCGAACGAGCATCAACGAGGATCGTTCGAGCAATAGACTGAAAATCGGTTTCGAAACGAAATTCAGAGTGACGTGTTTCGTCGTGCGAATGAATTTATTGATCGTCGCACGAGACACCGGCACGGCAAGCGTGTCCACCAGAAGTTGACCAGCCGATCGGCCGAAGTTTTGATAACTGAAGTACATACTCGTGTGGTGGTTGGCTGCCACGAGGATATCTAATTGGTTGGAATAATTATCGGTGTGGCAACGGCCCTTAAACAGTAAACCGCGGACACGATTGGTCAGCGGGATAAATTTGCTTTTTTTGCATGAACGCGAGAGCACTTTTAACCCTTGGTCCCTCTGTAAAACGAGTTTTTAATTTTTTATACCCCTTCTTACAGGGTGTGGCCGGGACGCCGGGCAAGAACGGTTTTCCGGTATATTATTTTTTATTTTCTTTCCATTCTTACGTCACTTTGTCTGTCTGCTTCCTCTTTTCTTTCTCCTTTTCTCTCTCTCTCTCTCTCTCTCTCTGTCTCTCTCTTTTTTGTGTCATCTTTTACATACTCCATTTATCATCTCTCACGTATGCACGTAACACTGACTAAATCATACTTTGTGATTAACATGTTTCACGTGGTCTTTTTGTTCCTATTTCTCTCTCTCTCTCTCTCTCTCTCTCTCTCTCTCTCTCTTTCTCACGTTTTTCTTCTTTTCTTCTTTTTCCGTTCGTTCAATTTGCGCTTTTTTCCCTGAATTTTTAAGCAACGCCCTCCATTTCTTTTTTCTTTTTTTTTTTTTTTTTGTTTACATTTTTCTCCACAGTATCAGATTTATGCCTATACTTTGTATTTACCGATCGTGAGATCGGAGCTCGACGTTTGCTTTCAAATATGACATGGCAGTAGTTTTGTTTGGAGTAAACTAAAAAAAATATAGACGAATGTGCGATTTTTTCGAGTAACGAGTCGATGGATACGAACGGGATGACAGGGAAAAAAATGAAACGTGACTTGTTGCGTCTCGGCTAAACGAAGATCGTGGAATTATTCCAGATTCTATTTACGCATACTGTCTCGAATTTAAATGTCGAAACTTAAAAAAAAGAGAAACGACGAACTACGTTTGAAAAGAATTTTTAAAGACTCGCCGGTTTTGAACAAAAAATCACGAGAATTTAAGTAACAAAAAATTTTCATTTTCGTCCAGTAAGTTTGTTGGATGCCAATCAATTCAAACGAGCGGTCCTATGAGAGATCAAATCGTATGTCAAACACCACCAGAGCAATATCTAGCTGTAACTAGAATGATCAATGTTCGATGTAATATTTGCATTGCCGCAAGAGGCCAGCATTTCGAACAGAGCTAGCTAAAATACTACTATTTTAAATAGTAAATAGTAAATAATCCTATTTACTTTAAAGTGTAATACGTAACTTTGAAAATAAGGTACTTTATTCGATACTCTGCTTTTAGGCTTTAAAATAATTATTTGAAAATAATATTTCATTCAAAGAGTATTTTATTTATTTTAAATATTATTTCTAGTTATATTATATTTTATATTATTATATTAAGTATTCAACATTATTAAAATATAATATAAAAATATTATTTTAAATTATTAAAATATTATTATTTTAAATTATTAAAATATTATTATTTTAAATTATTAAAATATTATTATTTTAAATTATTAAAATATTATTATTTTAAATTATTAAAATATTTTAATTATTAAAATATGTATTTTAAATTATTAAAATATTATTATTTTAAATTATTTAAAATAATAATATTTAAATATTATTTTAAATATTGTTTTAAATATTACTACTGAAAATGATTATTCACATTTAATAGAGTGACGAATATAAATAGTTTCGTAATCTCCTATTATATTCAAAATCGTGATTCAACTGGTCGGATGTGCAAAAATAAAATGGATAACATGCGTTTGTTATGTTAAGAAATATTAGATCATTCTGTGAGTACTTTTAAAAAAACTCAAAAGAAAAGAAAAGGAACATTTGACATTATCAAAAAAATTTTTTATCACCATTATTTACAACTTGTTCTTATCTCAATTCTTTTCAATACCTTTTAAGAAATTCTAAGGTTTCTAAGGTTTACGTAAAAGAGCGAATCGACGAAATCGCATTACTTATACTTATGGGATGAGCCGATGCTTTAAGCTAAGATTAAAGTATTTTGTCTTCCGTAAGATTATTAAAATGAAAGTATCTTTTGCCTGTTGAAATCTTAAATCTCATTTAAAATAGTACGTTATTTAACAGACTGTAAGATATTAAATAGCAGCTGAAGCATTTATCTCGCCAAATATTATCCGGCTCTTCGTTAAATGACACAGATGTGATGATATTTCAAGGCGATAGTACGAATGATAAAATAGATGCTAACGTGAATAAGTGGAGAAACTTTTTTTTTGCTTCTTCTTCCGCCAATTTCTAAAGGACTTTTTCTGTTGATTCCCGAAAGTTTTGACATTTAAAGAGACCCGAGACATCCCTGCAGAGTTACGTTTACTACTTTCGTATAAGTTCGTTTACTGTTCCTAATATATGTATATTCTCAGCCGTCGTAAAATAAACGTCGTATCTGAAAGCATTTCGATGTTCTACAACACTCGATGACGCCTCTATCTGTCGTATGCTCGCATACGTACGTTGTACATCGCAAGGAATGATTTTATTTTTCAAAGGCTGTCCGCAGCCTTTTAATTTTTCATCTTTCTCCGCCTGCTCTTCGAATCAACTATTCAAACTTACTAGCGTGTTCTTTCAGGGACCTATTGGGTTAGATGGACCAAAAGGTGAGCCGGTAAGTGCACGCACAACCATTATCTATTTTACTATAATCTTTGCGATAGATGATTTCTTTTTTTTCTTTTTTTTCTTTTTTTTTTGAACTCGACTTGTTTTCAATGTTTATTTCAAGATAAATTAATATACTTGATATACTTGACATAGTTAATAAATTTTTTAGTGTTTCTTATTTATTTATTAGTATCATTATTGTATAATTTATCTCTTATAGTTTTTTAAAGTATGACAATTTTTGTAAACCATTTTTTCTCAAATTTTCATAGAGAAATGTTATTAATGAGGTTCTCGAGGTTAATTAAGTGGGAGCACAAATGATTTGTAAAAGTCAATCTTGATTTTTCTAATGGAATCGTATTTTTCAAAACGCATTGATGCATGAATTCTGGAAAATTATGAGTTTGGAATAGATTATTTTAATTTCTTTTTATACAAAACATTGTGCGAGGGGTTTAAACGTTGTTGCACGCATTTCCTCGTCTTTCGTATGATATTTTGTACAAAATGAAAGTTCAAATAAATATCTTCCAAACCAACAATTTTATATATTCGTTTAATTGCGATACACAGGTTTTCTTCCCATGGAACACATCAACCGATGCATTTGAAAAACATGTAATTCCACTAGAGAGAAAAAAAAAAATCAAATTTAAAAAAGCAAATTTTTTTCCGTGTTTAGCCACAAAATATCATAACATTTCTCGCTACAGTATAATAACAATAATGGTAAAAACACACGAGACATTCTATACGCAAAAACAAAAATTTTATATAATAATATGTTTAATGTAATATAATATAAAATTTTATATAATATAATATATTGTTCTTTTTCGTTTAAATTACATAACACGATACGTATTACGATATTACATGCATAGTGTTTCATGTATATAAAGTATATATATCCGCGTGTATTGTTTTTCTCCGCCACGATGAAAATTACAGTGTGATAACGTGAACGTTACGTGGCGTTCCTTTGAATAAATCATGAATTTATAGTTGCCGAGATAATAGGCTGCACACATGGAAAGAGAAGATAGCAGAGTTACTAACGCGACGGTTAAACTAAGGGACGGTTAATAGCCAATAATTGGTGGTAGAAGTAACGCACTATGTGTTAATTACACACGGAGCAGATATAATTGCGGATTAAATCGTACTGTTTATCGTTTGGCGGTTCGACGCGAATATGTGTGCACGGACGAATAAATTACCCCCGGCCGAAATTCTAACGTGTGTGATAACGCTACTTGACAGTATTATACCTGTAAGCTGTATTAAAAAGTATTATATCTCGAAAGTAAAATTAAAAAAAAGAAAGAATGTAATTATTGAAAATTCATAATCATTGAAAATTCGCTGTTAATTGGTAAATCGGTTGATCGAAAATTCAGCGAATTTACATTCGTTGCAGCGGAATGCAAATAAAATGAAACACGAATGGGAACGTCGTTGCTCGAAAAATATGTCGGAACGGGGGTTTTTAAACTGGCAGACAGAAAATTTTCGGTAGAGCAAATAATCCATTTGATTCGTGAAACGCGAACGGGAGGGGGTGGAAAAAAAAAATGTATCGCGTCGGAGGATTAATTTGTATGCGCGCGTGAAAATATAAAAACGTCGATAACACGGGTTCTCGTTGAAACATCCCCGAAGATTGTCTCTCAATCAAGTTTCTTTGTCATCAGTACAGATCTTCAATCCTATTTCGTCTATATTATATTTGACCTGATCATATATTATATATATATATATATATATATATTATATTTGACTATTTGATTTGTCCAGAGTCCACGCGGAAATTTTCATTTCGTTCCCCGAGACATAAAAATTGCAAAACTATTCCTCGTGATTTTTCCAACCGATCAATATTTCTAAAACGCAAATATAGGGTGGCTCACTGAAAGACTGAAGTGTTTGAAAAAGCCCGTATTTGCGATCATTCGAGGGATGTTGTTCTTCACGCATGATACTGGGAAAAAAAAATTAAATTATATTTCGAAGTTTAAAAAACACGTGTTTGTCAAAGTTATTTTTATTTTATATCATTCGGTATTTCAGTGACCACCTTCCCTGCCCTTTTGTTCGCTACCTTCCAAAAAATTTGGCGCGAAACTTTGCCGCAGGGTTCTAGCTCATTCGCGAGACAATATCGTGAAAATATCGTCGTCTCTTGTGAAATCGCGTAAATACTTGGAACATCTCGCTACGAAAACAGTAAACGAAAGCACGTGTCACGCGTGCATTTTGTCGCCGAGCAAACGAAACGAGGGAATTGGTGGGCGGGTAATATGAACGTAGGAGCACGCGTGGATAGGGAAAAAGAGAAAAAGTAGGATGGAAGGCGCGAGGGTATGAGTGCATTGCAAATATCGCGCGATATTTGTTCGGTCGATGGTTGAAAGAATTTCGATCGGCTTGTGCGAGAGAGAACTAAACGTGGCAGCCCTTACGTGCTGTCCATTTACGTTCAATTCGGACCTATGTACGCATAGGACACCCGATGTTGAAAAAAAGTTTCCTCAACGGATCGACGATTGCCGGAAATTTCATTCGGGATATCTATTAACCACGGATCGAAATTAACAGGTTCCTGAAGATAATTCGAGCTTGTATATTTCGTTTTGAAGAAAGTGTCTGTTCTTGTCGAATTTTTGTTGAATTTTCATAGAAATTTATAGGAACAGAAACGATCGTAATTACCAAGAAATATTCATTTCGAATTTCATCGATAATTTCTTGAAACTTGAAATATACGAAATACTTCTGAAATTTCTCTTAAACCACTAAAATTTAGTTTTTTTTTTTTTTTTTTTTTAAAAAAATCAACTTAGGTGTTTTCAAATTTTATTTTTTTTTTTTTTTTTTTTTAAATACTACGATAAAATACATACGATTCCGCGATTGATTCGCCACGCGGTCTATTTTCTTAGACGGTCGACTGTTTCAAACGTAGAATACGAAGCAATTGTTTGAAGAAACCATAAAATAGTGGGTTAATATTGTTAGAAGTTAGCGTTGCGACCACCACCGGCAAGCTTATACCGCTGAAAAACTTGTAGCCTTAATATATTCGGTGTTGAAACTTTTATCATTCCTCCGGCCTGATTTACCTGTTAATCGAGAAACTTTCACGAACGTGATGAATAATAATAGACGTTCGGTATTAATTGTTTTTTACGTATTCGTTCATCGACGAACAATAAGACGCGAAAAATTTAAAAGGCTCCGACGAAATTACGTTTCTAACTGACGCGCGAATCGGTCGCAATTCGCTTTCTAAAATTGCCCCACGGGAGTTGAATCTTTTTATTTCCACCGCGAAAGAAGGAAATTAAACGGATCGCTCCTTCATTTACTCGTTTCACGGGGCAAGCTTTATACACGCGAGATTCACGATTTATATGCAAATACATGGCGAACGAAAATGTCAACGCTATTAGAAACATTACACTACCATAAATAAAAGATAATGTAACTGGTATAAAAGTCACAGTTGCTATAACCGGACAGGGAGCGATCCTACATGCGAAAATAAGCGGAGAAAGAGGAACAGTAATTTAAGATTTTCCTTTTTTCGCGGGAAATTAACTCGGAAATTTTGTTAAATGTATTTGCTTGAGTTTCGAGGCAGATTCGACGGCAGCGAATAAATCGATAGAAGGTTGTTTTACACGCAAGTACGCGTGAAAAAAAAAAAGAAAAAGAAATGTAGAGTAAAATTTTCAAGCTTTCAAGTTTCCCTCGTTTCAAAGGAAATAAGCATTAAACGTGTTTAGTTAGGAATTGGCTTGACTCGATACTTTCGCACGTGAAATAACCTTTTATCGACTATTTGCTCCAGCCTGGAGTAAATAAAATCGAATTCGAGCAAATTTTCAAACTCAATTGAAGTCTTAAAATGAATAAAAAAGAGAAAAAAAAACTCTTTTCTTTCCATTTATTTTTCTACGTGGGATCACCTTCTATCCGGTTATACCGCCAGTTATGTAACACTTTGTACGTAATATCGTTATGAAGCGGAAAGAGAATAGACACAGTAGCGCATGGAAATCTCGGGACAAACGCGTTCGTGAGCTGAAATTGAAAACGATAAAACTCGTCCTGACTGACGTCTCGCAAAAATGAAAATGAGACGGCCAAACGAAATCGAAGGGAGGGAATTCTAAATTTCGTAATTTTATTGGCACCTCTAGGTGAAACTCCGTCGTGTTGGTAAAAATTTCTGCAAAATTCACCCGATTCGATGCTTACTCACGCTATTTCACTTTACAAAGTGATATTTAAAATTAGTTTAGTAATTTAAAAAAAAGTAATATTTTAAATTATTAATTAATATTTATATAAATATTTAATTAATATTTTATTTATATAATATTTTATTATTTTATTATTTATATAATATTTATTAATATTTTATTATTTTATTATTTATATAATATTTATTAATATTTTATTATTTATATAATATTTATTAATATTTTATTATTTTATTTATATAATATGTAATTAATATTTTAAATAACTCGTCAAAAAAAAAAAAAAAAGGAATGACCACACGTACGAAGAGACGGTGCAATGTAAAAGTTTGTCGACGGAATTCGAAGAGAAAAAAAAAAAAAAACTAGAACAAGGCAACTTGACAATTTGTAGATTTGGACGACGTTCTCGTTTTCATTTTCACGTTATTATATGCTTACGTGTGTTTTTGCAATTCGACTGAAACGCAGTGTGTCTTCGTTTTGCAGGGTCGACCCGGAGAAAAAGGGCAGAAAGGCGAACTGGGAAGCCCAGGCTTTGATGTCTTTTCCGCAGTAAAGGTATCTAGCTACGTTATCCAGAGAAACAGCACGAGTGTGCATTACGCAGCTAGTAAACGACATAGTAGTACGTGCAACGCGAAAGTACATCGTTTCTCTTTCGATCTTCTCTTGCTCGCCCGCCGGTTTCTTTAAAAACCAATCTCGTGAGAATTCTGCGGCGGGTAGCAGCTGCAACGCGAGAAAATGAAGAAATCCACGGGGCGCCGGTCGAAATGACGCAAAGGATAAGCGATGTATTTTCCGCGGGAGAGAGAAACGTACGGTTTGTTTACGCACCTCGTGATACGCGTACTGGGAGAGACGTGTTTCAATCGGAGAATATCGATTTACATATTTTTCAACGTTGCAAGCGTGTGATTAAAAGAAAAAAAAAAAAAAAAAAGAAAAAAAGAAAAATTGTTTGGCACGCTGTTTCCGTGTCGAGTAATATTAAAAATATTGGTAAAAAAAAAAAAAATGAGCTTGGGTTGTGTCATCGGTCTTCCTGCTGTCGCTATTTCTCACTAACGTGAGTTTTTTGCATCACGTTACGGGTAACGAGGTCTCGTGACAAACGAGCAAGAAGCAAAATGTTTGATTAACAACATGGCCAGATGTGTCGTTAGTTTTCGAGATGTACAACAAAATACAGTAGAACGTCGATTATTGTGCTAATTCGGAGACAGGTCCGTTCGGATGAGCGGCTTTTCGGATGATATCGGTCAAATTTGTGACGACGTGTCGCGAATCAACTGGGATTATACAGTTTTCAAATGGGGATGTTTATTACGCGACAGAAATACATGCAGGTGTCTAATAATCAGTAGATTGTAGACGTTTCATTAATTTCTTCATCTGGCATTTAAGAGCTTTCTCTTGAATTGGCGCTCAATCATCGTTTCTATAGAGACGAAAATTTCTCTCTCGTTATCTAAATTACTTTGAAATTCTAATAATACTATTTTCAATAGTAGCTAATTGTACATTTTCTAACGTTGTTATTCTACGACTAAGTTACATGCATTTTTTTTAACGTTTAATGATATTCAATGTATCATTTAATTTCAGCATCACTCGTTTTCTGTTAATAGTATTTTCCTGATATAAATGAAAAATAGGGCGTTTAAGGCAAGTATATATGTTCCAAATTATAAATATTGCTCGACATGTGCGTACATACATAATCTGTTTTGGAATCGATATTCTACTGTACTCGAGATAATATCTTTAAACATTACGACTAATTTTTAATACATAAAATATTAATAAAAATTCGAATAAATATAATATATAAAAATATATAATAGTATAATAAATATAGTATATAAAAATTCGATTACAGATGAGATTTAAATGTTTGTCTCTTTCTACCTTTCTTAATTACTAATTAAACGTTGAATCTTTGATTTTAACGTAGAACGCCTTCGTGAAACTAATGTTTAGACAGCCAAGTTTTCCGATTGGAACAACGTCTTACACGTACTCGTAATCAAGGTAAAACTTCCGTCAGAAAATTTTGTACGAATCTCGATGTTTCTCGTTAGCTCGACGACCGAGGACAACGGCTTCGTTCTTAACTGTAATCGGCATTTGGTAATGTTTAGCGGCATGTACAGTAACTCTTTCATTCCCAAATGTAATTAAATTACACATTAGAGACACGTGTCTGTAATTTTTCTTCTGTCCGTCACGTGGCAGATATATGTACATAAATCGATTCCGGACGCGTGTAAACATCGTTCACAAATAAAATAAAAATCGACAATCTGTTTCGCGATAACGATCAACGTGGGAACGGAGAGAGAGTTAAGAGAACTGAAGCCGCGTTCTCGGTTCAAAGTGCAATCCGAAATACATATAATTCTCGCTGACGCTTCACCTACGCTGCGATCAAGAGTCCAGTCGACGCGCGATGATTTTTTTCTTTATTCGACAATCAAACACTCCGAACGAAAGATTCTTTCAGTCAAGAACGCGTGCAATAAGCTTACAAATTGAATTACGGAAAAATCGCTGTTTACGTACAAGCAATTTCATCGTTGGCCGCTAGTATTTCGTACGACCTGTTAAAAACTAAAATCCTACGGCCGGTAAACTCTCTGTAACGCTTCGTAACTTTTAAATTACGTAACCACGTGCGGGGGAGAGAGAGTTTCCGTTAATCCGACGTTAAGCTCGGTACTCCGAAAATGCCGGATTACCAAAAATGCCGGGTTATTGGAACCATATCCGTGTGTGGTCCGGCGAGAACGAGGGAAACATAATCGAAATACAGTCTCGCCGAAGATTACTCCATCTGTCGATGACTAAAAAGAAAGAAAGAAAGAAAGGAAGAAAGAAGCAGAAAAGATCGAAAGTTAAATCGTTAAAGAGGACTCTCGATGGCCCCGTGGCGCGAAGTATGTACGATGACATGTGATATACTCTTTCTGTACTTTTTTTTTTCTCATTTTTTTTTCTCTCTCTCTCTCTTCTTCTTCTCTTTTGTTCGTTTCTCGTCAACGTATCGATCTTCGATGATACAGATTAACAATATAAACCATCTTTCCGCCTACGGGTCAATGCACAGGGATTAGGGTTAAAGAGGTCGGTGACGACGCTCCGCGGCGGGACGCTTGGCTATGCGGAAATCGTCGCTCTGAAGGTAACCGGCCTCTTCGGAAGGCAACACGGCCTCGTGTTGCGGTTCAGAAATCTCTTCTCGTCGTCGCTACTCCCGCTTCTTGTAACCTCTTCTGTCTCTTCTTCTACATTCTCTTGTTCCTCTCCCCTGCTCCCCTCGTCCTCGAGCCTTACTCTTCACCGCATCCGCGAACCACCACCTTCTTATCAGGCCTCGTACTTCGTCCCCACGTTTGGAATCTATCTCCCTCGAGTTTTTTCTCTCCCACCTCCTAGACGCAATCCTGTTTCTAGTCGTTGCCTCGTGCGGTGCTTTCGGTGTAGCGTTCACTCGTTGGTTTCAACTGCGGGCGACACTTTTACTTGGAAGGAAAGCGGCTCGTTTTCGCTCGGCTCTGTTTCCTTTCCGCTGAATCACTGCCTCGGTGATAACGTGCACGTATATAAAGGGAAGGAAAAGTTGCCGCCTCGAACGTAGTAACAATTCGGCGAGTTTACTTGCTTCTACTGTTGGTGGTTGTCTACTTGTCGACACGCAGGACGATGATGAAACGAGGCTGATTTCTATCTTGTCGAGGAGAATAGAAAGTTTGCTGAATCTCGTAATTCGGTAACGCTAATCGACATTACGTTGTAATTTTAAAAAATTACATCATGAAAGCACATTTTTTTTCACTTTAACTATCATCTAGTTATCGATGATAGTTAATAAATATAATATGATATTTATCTTATTAATCATTTCGTAATATATAATAATGATTATATTTATAATTGTAATTATATAACATTGCAATCGATAATTATCATATTATTATTTGATTTGTCAATGATATTTATCGTATTAATCATTTTGTAATAATAATTATATTTATAATTACATAATAATTACATATTATATATTATTATATTACATAACATTATACAGTCAATATAATTGTCATATTATTATATTTATAACATATATAAACGTTATTAATTTTAAAAAATTACATTATATATAAAAGCACATTATTTTCATTTCATTATCATTTAGTTATTCGTCTCGTTTGATTTTTCGATGATATTTATCTTGTCAATCATTTTGTAATATATAATAATAATTGTATCTATAACTATAATTACATATTATATATTATTACATTATATAACATTATACAACCGATATAATTATCATATTGTGATATTTATAATATATATCACTGGCGAACGTGTCAATATCACAAAAATTATCTCGCGTGTCTGAAACTACGAGACACAGCGAACAACTTTTCTCACCTGACCACGTAACACTCGAAATCGTGTCTCACCTCGCCGTGGTGCTTCAAAAATCGAGCCGCTTGCCCTTCTACTTGAAAGCCTGCTCGCCGTATTTTGTCGTCTTTGGTTTTTGGTTGGTAATGGTATTTACTTTAAGTTACAGTATTTAGGTATATCTCTGGGCATGCCTTGGATACGGAAGAGCAATGAGAAAAAACGAGACATCCCAAATGATATCCATTTTAGGTTTTCCCGCCAAACCACCACCACCAACCACCCACGCCCAACCCCTTAGCCACCCACTGTTAGCCCTATGTTTTCGTCTGGTAGCGATTTGGTTTTTCACCCGTAGTGTTGACCTACTTCTAGGGACTTCAGGAGCAAGGGCATAATATCTCAGCGCAGACCATCATACAACTGAAAGTAAGTGCGCCTGCTCTTTGGGAGCCCCTCCCTCCCCCCCTCCCCTCCCCTTTCCACCTCCTTGTCCCTTGATTCTTGACAATCGATTCTCCAGGCATTCGATTTCGTACGATTTTGTCACGCGAAAGAATTCTCGGAAAACTCCACTTTGTCTACGCGCAATTACTGTATCGTATCTCACGAGACAACAGAGACAAGATCGTTTAAAATGCGGAGGAGAGACGTCGACGAAATTCAAGGAACGTCGAAACGAAGAGCAAAGAACGCGAAAGTTCTTTTTTTTTTTTTTTTCTTTCTTTTTCTTTTTACATGGGAAAACGTCGTTTACCTGGCGAATCGAATAATAAACGTGCATAAAGGAAGTTGTCGAGAGCAGTAACTGCCTTTGAAAAACGGGACCGGACGACCGTATTAAATTTTTCCTTTATGACCGTTCGTCGTACAAAGACATACAGTTTACCTTGCACCTTCTTATTTTACAACTTTACGTTACCGAGTATCGTTTCATTCTTTTGTACCTTCTTCCTCAGGGCCGTGTAGGGAAACACTTCTCTTTTACTAAAGTGTACATTCGCTAAGAGAAATTTGTAATCTAGAGTCGTTTTTCTAGCTGGATTGCAAACGAGAGTAAGTAAATCTGTTGTTGGTTCGTTATGAACTTTCATCGAAAGTTGGATCTGGACTGTGAGTCCAGTATTATTAAGTTTCGTAATATTATAGATACGTGCGCATTTTAAGGGAATTGTTGAAGTAAAGTAGTGAAATAAATGTTGAACTGCTTTTTTGACATCGTAATATTTTCGACGTCTTGCTGCTGAGAATGAGTTCTGACAACACGGCCTGGCAAATTTTTATTTTACTCGGTTGACTCCTCGAGATTATTGCATCTGTGGTACCATGTAAAAGTTATGTATCATACGTATATATCTTTTCTGAGCATTTCAACAGTTTGATATAAATGTACTGTAGCTATATAAATGTACCTTCAACATTGTTACAAGTGGAGTTGACCTGTTACCGGGTCGCTTTTTAATTGGAAAATTTGTTTGGGGCAAGCAGTTGAAAATTATGAGTGACGCAGGCCAGAATTGGTAATGGAAATGCATTAATCCATAATCGCGGAAAAATTAACGGAATGAAATATTAATGCGACCCTGTCACATAAATGTCGATGCAATTGAACAATTTGATTCGTTTCGCTGTTTAAATTTGAAAAATTTAAATATTTTCAAGACAGGGTCTTGTTGTTGCCTAGCTGGACTCTTTTATAAATTAGAACGATTCTCAGAGGTGAGCCAAATAAAATGTGCACGAAAGTTTGCAACGCATATATGTGTGTACGTATAGGGTACCATAAAATGACATACAGTCAAGGCTAATTTTACGTAGAAAATTCTAAGGCTAAGGCTAGGCTAAAATCACGTAGAGTTTTTTAAATTTCAATTCTCTAGAAAATAAAATTAAAAGAATTTGATTGCGTATTTTCGAGTCATTTTTTCATGTAAAATCCAGTGCCTTTCAATGAGTGATTGTATTACGATGAATATACCCTATTATACAAGATGTCCCAAACTTAAACGGCCAAACTGCAAGAACGTAATCAAACTGCAAAGAGAAGAAAAAAATGTTATATGAAATACTTTGTTATAGAATTATAAACAAATATCGTATATATGAAACAGCTAGCGACGCATTTTTTTTTTTTTATTTTTACTTTGAAACATATTTACTAAAAAGAATGTTTATTACTGAATTACTGAAACTCAGAAAAATTCTCAGAAATCTTATAATGTTATTAATTCTATTTGTTTGCCGATGTCTGAGCATAAAAATAATACTTCTCAATATGAAAAATTAAAAATACTCGAGCAATCATTTTTCATTATATTATTATAATATTATATATATTATTACTATATTATTATATTATATATATATATATTATTATTATAATTTTATATATTAATATTATAATTTTCATTATAATATTATTACATTATATTATTATAATTAGTGACAAGTAAAAAAATCGTTAGTGTATGATTAAAATATGCTATAATGAAAAGTGCATCGCTACTTACGTGTTTCGTGCATACAATATTTTGTTCAAAACTCGTAACATTTTTTTCCTTCTTCTTTCACCTGCACGTTTAAGCCATTTAAGTTTGAGACACCCTGTGTACACGTACGGTAAAAAGGAAATCGTAGCGAAGAATTGAATTGAATTATAAGAAAGGAAAACACGGTCCTGTTCTCTCTGCATGCTCATTTTACCTCCAATACGTCACGCAAACTCAACAACGCGCGCACGTGCGTGTACTGCATGTTGTACTTTCCTGTTTTACAAACTTCATTAGGACCGTAAGTTTTTGAAGAATGTAGTACGTACAACGTGTACTCCCGTGTATTTCGTTAGATGAGTAGTGTACCGAATCATTTGCATAGATGTAACGTATGAATGCGTGTGTGTACTTGTGCGTACGTAGATACATTAGCGCCGAAAAGTATCATGATATAAACGACATAAATCACGAACGATACAATTACGAAATAAATAAATAGGCAACAATTGGAATTTGATTTTCAATTAAAACGTGGACGAATGTGCAATTTTATTGATCTTTTCGAATTGTTGTCTGAATCACTTTCTCAAACTGACAACAATTGCGACGCGTTCTCGTAGCTTTGAGACGTATCAATGGATAGAGCAGTCTGAAAAGTGAAATCTCTGGAATTCAAATGGTTCGACATTTCTTTTTCTTTTTATGAAAATAAATGGGAGCGTGATGTAAAAATATTTCTCCGGTTTACACGTATATATTGCCTTTGGGAGAGTTGAGAATCCAAACGCGGGAGCTGCGACAAAACGGTGTCCTAGTTTAGAATAAAGGATTAAAGTAGAGTAGATTTTATGGGATAAGAGCGCGAGGCTCCTTCATCGCCTATGCGTTTAGATTTTGTACTTTCCCCAAAAAGCTATATTTACATATAAACTGAATTATTTACATACAAACTGAAGAGAAATATTTGCGAATGAGTTAAGAATGTTTTTAACATTTTTCACTTGTTATTCCAGGTCATTCGCTTTTACTATTCTAATCACTGAGCTATTCTAGTCGAAAACTGGGTGTTTCGTCCCAAAGTTATAAGATCATGTCATACTTTTCTTTGAATGACAAAAATACACGGCTTCTTCAACCTTCGTTGGCTGATTTTAGTGATATAAAGTATCTAAAGAAACAAAAAATTTTATTATAAAATAGGTAAAAACTCGGAAACGTCAATAAAATGCACATTCGCCAAAATCTAAAGTGGCAACAAATTAAAAATGTAAGATTCGTGTTACGCGTTAGATGTAAGACGAATCTTTAAAATCTTAGATGTTACATACTAAATAAAAGAAAATACATGCTTGTGCACATAATTAGAATTATAAAAATAGATTGTATTAGCTTTTTTGTTTTCTTTTTTTTTTCTATAGTGCATTCGTTTACGACACAAGTTTAAGAATCGTTTAGTGCTTACGTAGATACATTCGATGTGCCAAATGGAAAGGAAGAAACGTCTCTCGAATTTTCATACATCGAAGTTTACTTGCATCCATTGTCGTTTGATGATTATCTGACTTGTGCATGACGCTCTGAAAATCCAAAAACTATGCGTGGGATACAAAACGTACACAATGATTTCAGAACGAACGTGTAAATCGTCGTATCTTTGTCGCAGGGACGGGAGAAATTAAAAATTTAAAAAAAAGTTTAACGTCTGACATGTGATATGCAGCGTTTGAGACATTTAACGCGCGGTGAAAGTTTCAATAACTTTGGATAAGTACCTACTTTATCTTAGATACTACTTACGTCATAAAGGTATTTCCCTCTTGCAAAGTGTGGTCTAAGGAGCTTATAAACAGAAATATTGGATTATGAATGCTTAATTTGTCGCTTTAGCTTGGTACCGGCAATGCCTCGCCGTTTAATATTTACTTTCGAAATGTTCAAGACGAGTCTATTTGCAAGACAAACACCACCTTTCTTTCCGAACTTCAAATCCCATTTCCTACATTCGCATTACGTCGTGATATTCGCATTAACCCGTTTGCGTTCGCGATTTAAATCGCACATGTCCGTGTATGTATTATAATTCGAAAATGAAAAATCTCGATTTAAATATATCTACTATTCTCTATCGTATAAACACGAGACAGAGTATGTGATATTATGTGAACAGCTTTTGATCGAGAACAATTTGTGCTTTTCCTTTGAAAGACCAAATTTTCAGTTTAATCGTTATTATATGATCGGTGCAACATAATTATTAGAATATAGCAACTAAAACTATTACTATATAAATTATTCGAAATAATAATAACCAAATTATTTCGATTGATGAGTTTGACACTAAAGGATATTTGCATGGTACATGCAGTTATTTTTAGTGAGAGAACATTTACGTTAATTGGCTTCTGAGCCTTTGAATTCGATTTGTTTTCAACGTTGTGTTTATTTTGAGGTAAATTAGATAAAATTCAACGTTCTTATTCATTTACTATTGTTATTATTACGTAACTTATTCTTTCATAACTTTTTAAAACAATTCGTATAAATTTGTATTGTCCATACCTCCATCATGTGACATACAAGTTCAAAGAGTTAATAAATACAAAATTCCAAGCAGCTGATAATCTTTTGGATACGTATAAATCGTACGTTAAACTGTTAACCAAAACTGTTAAAGTTTCGGCAAGCATACATACCTCACTGACTCTTTGCCGTACGATTTTATTATTATTCGCATACATCAGCATTAGTTAATCCATCGTTTTAATACATACATCGTATAGACATAAGAATTTAAACGTTACGGTATCGTAATCTCGCGGTGCAGCTGCGCAGCAATTCTCAATCTCCACTTGGAAATTTCAAAGCGAATCCCCGCCACAAATGCAATCTTCCATTATTGACTCTGTGCCATTTCTACATACACTGAAATACCTTTATTGACTCGGTTGTCACAAGCCACGGGCGTTATCTATAATTACATTCGTATCTCCAGGGTACTTTATGTCTTGCAACTTCCGAGCATAATTCAAGAAAAAAATAAATAAATAAATAAATTAAAGGTATAATACACGCACAGTTTTCTCCACGCGCTTTCTCTCTCTCTCTCTCTCTCTCCACCATCCTGTTTCTCCCTGTTTGTCTTTTTTTACTATCTGCCATCTTCTCCTTTCTCTCTCTCTCTCTCTCTTCTTCTTCTTCTTCTTCTGTCTGCCTCTTTGTATATTCACCACCAGACATTTTTCTCCGATGCTCCTTTCCTGTCCCCTCTCCGTCTGTAGCACAAACCGACGACAAACCGAGAGACACTCTTCTCGAGGGCTCTCGCCGGGAAGAAAGCGGTAACGACGTAACACTCTTGGAACGTAACAGGGAGAGCCAGGCGAGCCTGGACCACCGGGGCCACCCGGTCCTCCGGGAGCCGAAGGTCTTCCCGGGCACGAAGGCAGGCAAGGATCGCCAGGTGACGTCGGGCCAGCGGGTGAAAAGGGAGCGCCAGGACCCATCGGGCCAATTGGTCCGGCTGGTACGCCAGGACTTCAAGGTCCTAAGGTAACACTGATACCGGCACTCGGGGTCATTCTCTCAGGACCTCGACCATTTTCTATGCGAATACACTCTCAGATATACAGTTAAGAGGTTCGGTTTCGTTCGAGCACGTTCGTTACGTTAACACCGTTCGGTTGTCACTGAAACGTGAACGTGAATTAATTCCGTACCTTTTCAAATATGCAACGCAAGATGGCGTTTCCTTGAGACGCGGGAGGAATAATTGACCCGTTACGTGCAATTGTAGTTTGACAGAACTAATGAGAAGTTGACGATTTTTGCAGTCGAATACAATTCTCACTTGTTAAAAACTGTTGTACAGACGTCCAAAGGAGACTCGAAAGGGAACATTCTATCGATTTACATACTTGGGGACAATTACCAATGGTAACACGCCACATGTACACGTACATGTACAACAAATTCTAGTCTAAAAGAATTAATTACACTGAATTAGAAACATTTAATGAAGGAATGACGAAAAGGAAGAAAAAAAATTGGTCGAATCTGAAGACACTGATTAATTGATATATTCAAGTAAAACAGCCTAACTCTCTCTCATTCACTTTTTATTAATTTGACACATTTTTCTTAGAAAAAATTATATTATTGTACATCACGTATATTTATTTAAAATTTCGACACATTTTTCTAATATATAAGATGTATTTTTAATATTTTTATATTTATACGTGAGAATAGGATTAATATAAATCTTTTATATATATATATATATATATACTAATGATTAAACAGAAATTTATTTTTATTTATTGTCAGTGGAAGGATTCACAAATCTAACATTTTATTTTTATCATCAACAGGCTAGATTTATAAAAAAATAGAATTATCAAGAATATTGGAATGCTCAAACTTAAATCCTCAACTTAAAGATTATATTTATAAAAAAAAATTTAGAAAAAACTTTCACAACAAGTACTGAAGTACTCTGTACTTCATGTTCGCGATTCTGTACACCACGAATATGCGAGTTTCTCCAAGAACGCTCGAAAAATTGTTCAAAATTACGCGAACAAATTGTGTCCCAATCATCGGTAACGATCGGTGAATGATCCGTCGAATAATGGTGCGGCAATCGGTGATACGTTTGAAGATATCACATTTTCTAAAAATTTTAAACTTACTAGTCCCTTGGCATCGTTATATGTACAGCTGCATGGAGCAAATGCGAAGCTTCCAATGCACACAATAGAGGAGAAAGCAAATAAATAGGAGAAGAAGAGGATGCACTAACCCTCTGTGGCCTCTCGTGGTATCTTTAGCTAGGATGTTTCCCTTTGATTCCTCTTATTGACCTAATTGGTTGCGATCCTACAAGTATCATTTTACAATGGTAGACGATCGGAAGCGTTTTAAAAATCCCTCTTTATTTGAACTTCAATTTTAGTCGGTTTACAGAGGTGGAATTTTCTCATACGTCATTGTCAAATATACTGACACATATACACGATTTTTCTCCTTCTTTTCATTTTTATTGAACTTCGAAATTAACAACGACAAAAATTCAAGAAATCCTAACATTTTATTCAAAGTTCAATAAAACGGCGAGATAAAATTGTGCAAGTGTTTAAGAGGAGACTTCAATCATCAAGATCACGATAGATGTAGCCACGAAAATAAAATTTTAACGTTCCTCAAAGCATTCTTGCTATACGATGCAGAAGCATCTTTGAAAAAAAACCAACGTAAGGGCTTCACACTTTGAAATGGGACCAATTGAATTGTTACGTGACCTTTTTTTTTTTTTTTTTTTACAAAGTTACAACAGTTTCAAAGTATCGGCAATTTTTCATCGAGTAGAAATCAACGCCCTATCATAATCGTAAATCTTGTAGTAAAAACGTCCATTAATTGAAGAAACATTATTTTTCACAGGGTGACAAGGGTGATAGAGGCGACCGTGGTATAACAACTTCTTTGAATGGGGAACCATTTCCAACTGGAGTATTCGAAGGACCCCCCGGTCCACCAGGACCACCTGGTAAGTATATACACGGTGTAATTTAAATTCTCTCACGACTGATATACCGCACGCATATATAATAATATGTTAAAAAACAACGTGACACGATCACAGAAGGCGTAATTTGAATTATGCTGAAACGCTTGAATCTGTCCTATGACATATACAGGGTGAGCAAAATTTCGAAAAATGAAGGAGAGATTTATTTCGGTGGCAAATGAGAATGAACTTGCGCAAACACATGCTCTGTATTTTAAATATAAAAAGGCGAATCACAGCCCTCGTGAGTCGCGAAAAGTTTAAATTTTCTTTTTTATGGGATACTTCGTCGCGAAGATAAAAGTGATTAACTATGACATTTGTATTTATACGAATGTTCCCCTTCCTTTCTGGACTCTCGGCTGAAATGGATGTTACGTTTGAGATAGCTGGACGAAATGACATAGTCGAGCGTAGGATAACTAAAACAGCTGTACAACATTATATAGGCTACGGCCGTAAGCGGTATTTTAATCAAAAGAGCACACGTACGCAGTATCTTTTTAAAGAAACAAAGAGGTGAATTTCAGTGGTATTTTTTTTTTTTTCTGCTTTCTCCGGAAAAAGAGTCTGCATTTGTTAGAACGTCACCTTCGAAAACAGAGCATTTTCGTGTGAAAATTCCTTTTTAATGTCAGTTGCAGTTTCGATCATATAATACACCCTGTATATACATATCGGATAATAAAAAATATTTATACTCACTGCGATATCCCAGAAACTAAAAATCGTATGCTAAATTGTTACTATATACCGCGATATTTTCTAGAATATTGCGAAATAAATATCTCGGGGCAAAAGTATTAATCATACTTAATAATTATAAACTCACAGTGGAACACGATAATATTCCATTCGCAAACAATTCAATAGCGGCTAGAAACTAGTCCATCTCTCTACCACTAATTCTATCAAACTTGTAGGCAACATTAAGTTATTAAACAATTATCGTCCTCGGTAAGATGCAGAAACGCTATTTACAATTGCTAACATTGGCGATAGGAATAAATATTTAGTAACAAATTTAATATTTAGTCCAAAGAAATCTGCCAGAGTGCAGATTAAAACGCAGTCTCATCGAGAATGGCTACAGTGGCTATTACTATAATAGCATTTCATCACGTTTTGATGTAACGTTAGACTGGCTCTGTATGAGATAAGCGATAAAAATAACGTTAACGAAGAAGCGTATTTCGTGCAAATGTTTACACGCGTAAGCAGATTTTGCTACTTTAATCTCCGTCTACTCAAATCGATTCGCACTAAGAAATGTCTCCAGTAGATTGTCAATCGGAATATGATACAGTTTAGAGACGTAACTGTTACATTCATCCGCGCGCACATTGAAATGAATTTGTATCTCCTGTTCATGATATATGTACGTCTTCTATTTGTAACAGGATTAACGGATTTAAGTAGCATAATAAACAATAATGAATTACAGGAGTGTTCTCCATTATTCTTCGGTGAACCGGAACAACAGTATCTGCATAGAACAAATAATTGCTTAAGACGGAGGCGGATAATTTTTATCTTTGATCGATCAGTTACTAGAACTGACAAAGTGATCAATTTATAACTTTTTATTATGGTAATTAAATACTGAAACTGCCAAAGTAAACAATTTGTAATTTTCTAGAATAGATAAGTAAATAATATAAATAGATGAACGAACGAAATTTATTAGTAAGACAAATTTGCTTTTCTACTTATTTTTCGTAAAAATTTCGTGAAACGGGAAGAAATTTATTTCGATGACATAATTTTATATGTTACATGTACACGTAACGTAATATAATAATTGATTTTACTTTGTTTTATCATTTCATTTTAGTGATACAAAATATTAATCATTTTATTAAACAAAGAATAAAGGCAGCGTTGCATTTTTTTAGAAATTTGAACGATTTTTGCAAGGCGTGCGAATAAATTTTGCGTTATATTATAAATTTTTTCTTTCCATTTGTCGCAATCTAATTTCTCCAGATACAGTTTCTATATTTTGATAGGCAATGGTTCCAGTGTTAATACAATCCTTAACGTTCGCTTATCTGGATAAAGGAACTTCCATGGTAGAAAGCTAGTAAATTGATCACGTCGGAGGCTTATCACTAATTCAGTATTGCAACAGGATACCACCGGTATCAATGTCGTATTCTAAGTACTCACTTTTAAATATTCGTTACACGTAAAATTCCTTGATTCAGAGAGGCAGTTCGTTCAAAAAAATTTGCTTAATCTCGTCAACCTGCTTCTGAAATAACAAACCCATCGTTACGCATATACATATGTATGCTACAATATAATTTTTCATTCTAACAAGCACAACGCACTGCTGAAAAATTCAGTTAGAGCTTCAAAAAGAAAGTAAATATAAATATATAAATATTTTTATATAAAGTAAATGTAAATATAAATATTTCACTTAAGAGATTAACATTACGTTTTTACGTAACGAGATTAGGATCGATTAGATTTAGAAAGTACAATTGTAATTCGTACGTTGTTAGAAAAAACAGATTTATTTCATCTGAGAAGGGCGCGAGCTCAAATTTTTGAGCGAGAGTATACATATTGATTTGCCCCTCATTCGTCCCTTGTGTGTATCAGTTTAACATATTTTTCTCATATTGTACAAGTGTTGTTCATGTTACATACAGCATGTAATATACATTTTCCGACATGTATAACATTTCAACAGTTTTAATAACAAAGTATGTTATCAGAGTTGCAAATAATATTCAGTTTCAAATCCCTTGACAAGTAGTACATCCCCTTCTAATTATTATTACATTACACCACGGTTATAGGTTTAAACTATTTATTATTTTGGAATATAACTGTAACAAGTCCGAAACAAACGATCGTAACGTGATACAAAATTAAAGGGAATTAGATGTGTAGAAATATATATGAGTAGAATATTTGTGTGAATTTTTTACACGCAGTAGAAATATAGAAATTTAGTCTATTTATATCGTCGATAAACGAATTTACAAATTCATTTTCTCATTATAGATATTAATTTTTTAACGTTGTATCAATTTGACACCAAGGGACAAATTAAGTTGAAGAAATGAAGGATAGATGAGGATTAATTTAGCTTACTCTCATGTGTCCAAGTAGTGTAAATTCTCTCGCGTTTTATTTTACATGAACAATACCTTTCACGTTCTATATTTTCTTCAACTTTTAAAACATTTTTGTTTTCTCTTTTTCAACGCCGATTATCGGCTTTATTTTGAATGATGGGACAGGCGCTTTTCAGACGAGACTGCGCTCAATTTGTAGTGGTCGATACCTACAAAAGGAAAGCTATAAAATGTGAATCATAAAATATCCACAAAAGAGAAGCCGTGAAATGTAAACTGCAAAGCGTGAAAAAATGGTGACATTTTAAAAAAAAAAAAAAACACAACTTTAAACGTAGAAATTTTGCGAAACGATTCGTGAAAATTGTTTTCCTTTTAAACGCGCGACTAATGTCAATTAATTAGGTTTCTCTGACCGTTAACGCGCTTTTTAAAGAAAGTTTTCGCACTAGTGGTGAAATAAATGTAAAAAAAAAAAAAGTAAAAATACCAAATTATTATCAGAAATTAATCTAATTTGGAGAAATACGTGAAAGATTCTCGTTTTTTTTTCGGGAGGGGGGGAGGGATTAATCACGCGTCTATGCATGATGTTTACGCGAGAACGAGAGTGCGTGTGCGAGAGAAACGATTGTCATGTTTTATTTTATGCACGTGATGTACACGCACACAGGGCCCCAGGGCGAGAAGGGGGAGCTGGGTCCGACGGGACCACCCGGTCTGCCGGGAGAGAAGGGTGCCCGGGGAAAGCAAGGGAAGAGGGTAAGCTTCAGCGAGGTCCTCCGGCGAACGACCACTGACCAAATCGACCGTACAAAAAACCCATTCCCTCCTTAACAACCTGATCGTCAAATTGACCAACATTTTCCATCCCGTCTCGATGCTCTGGAAAAGAACGTCCTCCCGGCGTATACAACCTCGTACGTCCCCTTGTTCCAACGTTCTTCAAACGTTCCAACGTTCAGCCTCTCCTGACGATTCTTTCTAAATTTGAAATCCCTCTATGATATGTGATGCACGACCAGAGCATATTATTGCTTTTTACGGGCAAGCGGACGCATGACATTTCCGGCTGAACGTTTCACGTTGATTCATACGGCGAAGAATCGAATTTTGGAATTCTCAGCCGTTTGATATTCAATCTTCTCAGACTTTATTTCGGGGGCCAACAAACGCGCCAACGTCTTTATCAAAAACGTTCGCCTGGTGTCGCTTTGTTTGATGAAATCAACGTAAAACGGCCCGAGAACCGGAGAGCTTACTTTAATGTCCCACCACTGTGCCACCCCAGTTCTGGAATGACGTGACGGTTTATTCACGCTTTCGCGAATTCACCTGCATGGGAAATCACGGAGGAAGCACGTTGCACGATCTTATCACGCAGGCATGCGAGCACGTAACACGCACGGCACAATACGATCACCTGCCTCTTTTTTTTTCATTTAATAAAAGCGAGACAAAGTAGCCGTTAAATTGCACTTCGTCGTTCCCGACGATAACGGATGGACAACGTCCTTCTTGCGTTCGAGACAAATCCCGGGAACGCGAGGGTAGACGTGTAATACTCTTGTGAATTTGTTGGATAAAAACAAACTTTCATTTTCTTTCCTCTCAATATTCTACTTTGAATGTACGCGAATTCTTCTGAAAATTTTGTTTTCAAATGAGAGGGCATCCACTGCAGAGAATGAATTTTTAAAAGAACAGACACGTGGATCTGTCGGTGGCTTTGTCTTGATGCAACAAGGGCATTCTCTTCACTCCTGACGTCGTCGATGCAAAGTTGATCGAACTGGTGACTGTCCAGTTGACCGAAAAGAAAAAAAAAAAAAAAGGAGAAACGTTGGTGGCAGCAAATAACACGTACGCGAGATATAAATGTGTCGAGCCAATATTCTTCGATATTTTTTCTTTTTTCTTTTTTTTTTTTTTTTTAATTTTTGAAGCCGCTACCATTCACGTCGCTGAAGAAGACGCGCGGTTGCGTTAAGGGTGTCATCCCCGAGGTCGAAAGGACGAAAAACTAAATTCTCCTCCGATGGATATGACGAAAATTTACACACCTGCGCACTAAACAATCCCTAACTACGGCTTAGAAAAGTTCTCACTCGACTTCACACATGTCCCTGTGTTTTAACCCACTTTTTATTTTTAAGGTTTTAACCGTAAGTATATGGCCGCATATTTTATCAAAGTGATCGGGTTCCCCCGAACAGCAACGATCGAGCAAAACAAAGTGGCGAAATCGAAGGAAGCAATGTTCGTCGTTGTTTCGCCGCACGAATTCGCCGTCCGCGATTTGAATCGTTAATTAAGTCACCCCGGTTCGCGGTTGAGTGCAACGCCAATAAAATCACCGTGTATTCTCTCGTTTATACCCCGCCGAACATCCTACCAAACATGAGGCAATCGAGATTCAGAGGTATACAGGGTGTTCGCGCTATTAATTCAGCGTTTTCCTCGTGTCGCTGTTTCGCGATAGAAAATCTTTCGCTCTTCTAAAATTCTTTCAACACGCTGATCACCACTTTTATAGTTTCATCTGTAATACTTTCCTTTAGGAATGTATTGTAGTTTGAAATGTACATCACACTACAACATTCAGTCTCCCTTAGGGCGTAAAATTCCTCTTATTTCAGTCTTGATTCCTCAATTTTTTAATTTCTTGATATTATTTGATAAGTCAAAGCAAAGTCAACGTGTTGAGAAAGAGCTTGTGATTTTTGTGACTATTGAGGCGAGTTCAATCATCACGTCGCTGAGATAATGATGCATTGGCATAACTATGTCGGTGACAGTGAAAAATTTAAATTGATATGAAATTTCGTAAAAAGGAAAAAAAAATCGTGCGACAGTTCACTTGGCGTCATTTTAAAGTGTGAAACCTCTGCTCTGAACTCGTGATTTTCGCGAGATGACTTTGCATCGTATAGCGAGTAATTTCGAGAAAAAAAATTACTTTCCCACTCGCTATATAAGATCGTCTTTTAAAAACAGAAACTCACGACTGTCACGCTTCAAAATGGATCGTTGTATGATTTTCTTTTTTCTTTACAAAGTTACATCAATCTAAATTGCCAACGAATTGTCAATTGTCATTGTCATAGTTATATACTCTTCGCTGGAAGAACTAGGGAAATATTTTGAAAGTTTCATAAATTGCAGATTCCGATCGTTTCGCAACGCGATTCAAATAAAAGCTACAGAAAACTCCTTTATTTTTATATTTCAACGATATCGAGTATTCCTGTTGTCGCAGGCTGTTGAACTCGGTTCAGTAATCACTTTCATACGATACAATAAAACTTATATCGGTCAGTTTAAAATTAAAAACATTTATCCACTGGTGTCTGGCTGTTACACAAACACCGATATAAAAGAAATCGAAAAACAAATTTATCACCGGTAACAAATACTTCGTCACAGAAAACGTTTGCTTAGACGGAAAACGCTAGGGACTGATAACGCAAATACTCTTTATACTCTTTATACGACAGAGTCGCGAAAAGATATTCGGTTGATTTTCCACCTCAGAGAAAAAAAATTCTGCCAATTTCCAAGTTCGTCGGTGATCTAAGAAGAAAAGATCGGCGAGTAAAATTCGGGCCACTTTTTGTTTCGAGCGTTTGAATTTCCACGAGCGCCGAACTTCTTCACGCTGACTTGAGTCAGTGATCTCAACCGTCGTGGATTTTCATTTGACCTGGCTTGCAAATGAAAGAGAAGTGCCAGCCATCCATTTATAACAGTTCTTACGTTGCAAAAAGTCAATTTGTTTAGCTAACAAACGTCCGTGTCTGTGTGCTAATCGCACAGTTGCGGAATTGTAGTCAGAACGAAAGAATGAAAGATCGGTGACGGGGTAAGGACGAGAGAAAGAGAGAGAGAGAGAGAAAGCAAGGGTGAGTTAGAGCGACAAAGAGAGAGAGAGAGAGAGAGAGAGAGAGAGAGAGAGAGAAAGAGGTGAAAAAGAAAGAGGAGAGACTGATTGCTTTAAATCTTTAGTCAGTAGTCTTTGGCGTAGTGTACGTAGCTTGTGTAACTAATTTGTGTTTAATGTAGCAAAGTAACATCACACTACTTCTTCCCCCTGTGTGTGTCGGTTCAAATCACTAATAACTAATACTACCACTCCCGGCTTTGAGGCTCTCGCAACTATATCGACCGGCGATATCGATGCAAACCTGCGATTGTCGCGTAAGTATCAAACAAGCCCCTCAACAACAATATAGCTTTACTATCGATTTGTCATTAAAACTACATCGTGTCATATGCAGCTAATTCATGAATTGATGTCTTTTATATGTACATATACACATATATATCTATACATAAGTACACTTTTTTTTCTTGTCAATTTTGATCTTTTTTTTTTTTAATTCATTTATTCATTTATTCCTCCTCTATGTTTTCTCAGCAGTGAGTTTTATTATGACTGAATCGAACTGACACTTTCCCGGCGGGGAATTATTATTTATTAGAATTGTCATTATAGAAGATTTATAAAGAATTTTATTAATGATGACCGGTGTCAGACTTTTGTTTTCTAACAAAAAAGATACGATTACTCTCTCGCGAAAGTTAACATTAGTTTCTGTTTGAAACATAATTGTATAAATCTATTGATTTTTAATTGTCGTTTAAATTGTACGAACTTGATTATTCTGATGTGATTGTTCTATTTATATTTATGTTAACATCTTTGGGCAAGCAAGATCAAGTATATACATATGTGACGCTCACCGTGAAACTGTTAATATTCACTTCCCCGCAGACAAAACTGGATCATTGACAAGTGACTGGAATTTTTATTCTGTTCGCTAAGAACAGTTTCAAGAATTGTACTATCATACGATGCAACAGAGACACTGATAACTACATCGAAATTTTTCAGAATGTTTGAATGTCTGAAAATACTCTGCTGAGAGAAACGAGGAGGGACGATCAATTCTGATAGCTTCCAGTTTCTACTAAATTTGATCCCACTAACAAGCGTTCCCGTTGTCGTCGATTTTGCATGCGATACCTCGTAGTACATATTTGTGTTCTCGTTTTAAACGTTAGCGTGTCTAGATTTCGTGTGTTAATCGTAATATATCCTACGTCGAGCGATTTTGGCACAACTGTCAACCATTTGGCACAATTATTCCGAATTATGTCCGCTTAATGTCGCGGCAACTGTACACGAAGTTCGTGCCAAGATCGATCACAGAAATCATAGATGATTTCCGATGAGACCAACACTCCCTTCCCTGCACCCATCCTTCCCTGAAAACGAAAACCGATTAACGCTTCGTCGTAAAAGGGGGGGGGGGGAGAACAAAAAATAATAACAAAAAGAAAGGGATTTTCAAACAAAAATTAAAGATGGAGGACCTGGTTGGACCTGACCTTACAGTGTTACTTATAGGGTTTCAAGGGTGAGAGCGATGTGGCATTGATGAGAGGCCCACCCGGTCTACCGGGTCCAAAGGGTGAACCCGGGGAACGGGGTTACCGAGGCGAAAAAGGCAGCAAAGGAGACATGGGCTCACCAGGTAGATTCCCAAGAGCCATTCCACTGCGAAATTCAAGAGAAAGACGGATGACAATGAACGATATCTTTCCTACCCCGACTGCTACCAGCGACAAAGCATTTTCTTTGGCATTTCTTCCAATCTGATGGATCTTCTATTCGTGTCCTGTACACATCATAGACTGTCTGTGACTATCCGTGGACGTGGACAGTCTGTTCCACGCTCTCGAAAGCTATTTCAGTATCCCACGCCACTTCAACGGAAAGCTTTATCATCCGCGCACGATCGAAAATTTTCGTTCAACGTTTCCTCTCTCTCTTAAAGTGTCTGTCTTCTTGTTTCGAAAAGTGTTCTTAAATTTTTGTTTCGAAAGCAACTTGCTCGTTCGCTTGCAAGTTCACTTTATGCAAACGAATATAAAATATTACGCGTGTATGCGCGTGTGAGTGTGCTCACAAGTACGAAAAGGGAGATCTGTTTGTCTGACGAGAGTCAGATTATGCGAACGAAATCCGATCGATAGTAGATATTAATTGTTGCTTGTCTGCGTGCCAATAAGAATACGTTTTTTCAGGAGCGAAGGGAGAACAAGGATTACCTGGTTTTCCTGGACTCAACGGGACAGATGGAGAGGCTGGCATTCAGGGTCCTCCAGGATTGCCAGTGAGTAAATCGCACGTGTGAAGCTGTAATCAAAAAAATTAATTTATCTCACTCTCTAGGTCATAGTAAAATATGACGATAAAGTTTTATTTGTTCGATAAAGAGAATAATATTTAAACGTAGCCAGCAGTTTATCGCAGTTCTTTTACAGATTTGTGGAAGTTTTTTTATAGATTTATACAAGTCTTACAACGACCATAAACACGTTTACGACGTGTAAACTGCTGGCAAGATTTTCATTGTCGAATATAAAAGTTCAGACATAAAAGTTTCGCATAAGATTTACTACAATTCGAGAAACTTACGTATGCTTCTCTGTAAATTATTACGAAAGTTTTTCTTGTTTCTATTTAATAATTATACAGTTTTAAATTTGTCTTCTCTAGTATTACGAAGGAAAATTCGTTTTTAATTCAAACAATTTACGAATGTTCTTCTGTAAGTTATTGTAAATGTTTTTCTTTCAATATTTAACAATTACATATAGTTTCAACTCTATCTTTTTTAATATAAACGAATTACAAAATTGGCCTTCAATTCAAAGAATTTACGTATATACTTTTCTATAAATTATTTTCCTTCAAAATTTAGTAATTACACAGTCTTAAATTTATCGTTTTTATTATTACGAAGCAAGATATGTTTTTCTGCGAGTTATTGTAAAAGTTTTTCTTTAAAAATTTAATATTTACACAACTTCGAATTTACCTTTCCTAGTGTTACGAAACGAAATTCGCTTTTAAACACTTTTCTAAAAATTATTTCCTTTCATAGTTATACAATTTGAAATCTATCTTTTCCGGTACTACGAGAATGAATTTTCTATCACACGAGTTACATTCTAAAATTTTATAAATATTATAAACTCTAGACAGGTTCCTCTTATTTACAGTTACCTTATGTACATTCGTCCTCCAATATTAAATGTTTGTACAGGGTATTTCCGGGCCGAAGGGTGAGAAAGGTGACTACGGTGACATCGGACCTCCAGGACTTATGGGGCCACCAGGTTTGCCTGGTCCACCGGTATGTAAATCATTCACAAGCTTGTCATTTGTTAAATTATTCAATGCGAACTCGAATCGAACGAATTAACGTTTAACGCGTGTTCATTCTCTGTAAACAGGGTTATCCAGGGTTGAAAGGTGAAAAAGGAGAGAAAGGAGAATCGGTGAGTATTATCGATCTCTCGATAATACTTTCGCGTTGTACAGCAGATGGACGATCAAAACCCTCTTCTATCGGATTTTTTTCGTATTATATTCCCATTGAATGGCAAAGATGAGATATAATTGATTCTTGTCATAGTAGAATGCCGTTCGTTGAACGCCATGGGTCGTTGAATATCCATCGATTTCCACTGCCAGTAATTCCGGGTTTTTGATTTCGACACGTGTGACAAGTATATATCGTACTCGTCGTGTCGATTGCTTTGAAATCGAAGACCCGGAGCATATAGTGCGCGGCATTTTAACGACACGCATTCAACAATTTCATGATAAAATCTATTTTCTTTTCATGGCACGACATGGGGCCTTCCACTGACAGAAATACAAGAAACTCAGGCGAAGGCAGGTACGTCGCGTTTTCGTAATGTCACGTCCATCGCCATTCGAAAATTATTCCGCGAGAGAATAACAATTTACTGATTTACTGAGAGAATATTAGAGAATAATATAACCTTTCGTTATTTTATTACAGGGAGATGGTACATTCGAAGTAAATGCCGGCGAAGTGGTGAGTAAAAGCACCATTCCAGCCAAATGTCCCGTCGCGTTAGAAAAATATTTGCGTCTGGCGCTTTAATACGCGTTCAGTACACCTCACCTTTGGGCTTTTGAAATCTGCTCGCATAATTACACGGTTAATTTCGCTAGATAATGGGACCACCAGGACCACCGGGTCCAGCTGGTACTCCTGGGCTTCAAGGTCCACCAGGCATAAAAGGCGACCGAGGACACGATGGTGCCAAAGGCGATCCTGTCAGTAATCATATAATCGTCATTTAGAAACAAACAAAGAAAAACAAAAAAAAAAGAAATCAATCTGTTGAAATAATTTTCTGAGACAAGGAAATTAAAGTATACGTATGCAATGCTATACATTCTGTTATGTACTCGAAACGGCATTGTTTAATTTTCCACGTGTTCTTTCTTTTTGCAAAATAATTGAGATATAGACGTATTTAACGTATAATGCCAACGAGGGTAAGAAAACGAATCGTTACGGCAGGTACAACAGGTCTATTTTCACCTGGTCGTTCTTTCTTTACGTTGCAGGGAGAGAAGGGTGCCAAAGGAGATCCTGGTCCAATGGGACTACCCGTACGTATTTTCCTCTCAAGATTAGGTTCGTAGGTTAGGTAGGTTATAAATCGCGATAAAACACCACGAATAGAGTCGATCGAACGCATAAGATGGGAATCCACCAGCAAAAATTCCCTCGTTATTAAGGTATCAAGAAAAGGTATCGGCTCGAAATAAAGATCGATAGCGAGTTGTTTGGAAAGTACATAGAGAAATTTAAAGAGTATGGAGTTAGTAAAATGCACCGTTTCTTTCAGTGATTTTATCACAGATAGTGATTTTCAAAAATCTTTCCATCTAATATCTGAGTTCCGTAATCTTCTAAATATTTTGCTTCTTATTTTACCATCAGATAAAGTCTCGTAAAGACCACAGTAAATAATAGTAGAACGATGTTGTGTCTGTTGAATGGAACGGAGTTGCATTGTACATTCCAGCTATCTATTGCCTGCTCTTCATCAATACACGAAACCCTGCGTTATCTTATTGAAAAACGATCTCTTGACTAATGCCATTCTCCTCGATTGCCGCGTTCGATACCAGAATGCCAGGGTTTTCATTCTAACTAAAATCACAGATACTCAGTAAATATAACGTACAATATAATACATGTGCATATATAAAAAATGCTACGAACTTTTCGATTTACAAATGATAGTGCAACAACTTGTTACTAGAATAAAGGTACAAATGAGATATAAATATATGATTATATAAATGCAGGGGCAGAGTTTTCATTTCAGCATTATTATCGACACACGTCCATAATAACGTTCATACATACGATATGATACATCGGCTATGAAAAAATGAAAGCTTCTCGTATTTGCGAACTCGATTTACAAACAGCGGATGCAATAATTTATTACTCGAATAAAACGCACAAATGGGAAAGCGAAGCGGCATACGTATTGTTTGTAAAATTTATCGTCAATGTATGTACGCACTGACGATCGTATCGTAGTCGAATTATTAACAAAGGTGTTTGTCTCTTTATAGGGCCCCATGGGACTGAGAGGAGAATCTGGAAAGCCCGGGGATGCCGGGAAACCTGGTGCCATGGTAAGAACGCGGACCTCTCGCTCCTAACGTCATCGTTATTTGGCCTCGCTGCTGAATCATTACTAGGCATTCACTAACGACCAGTGTAATAAAATCGATTGTCGCTCATTCGGCAAGATGTCGTACTTCTTCGCGAGATCCTCAGTGAGATCCTTTGATTGCCTCTCGAGTGTGTTGTTTCCTCTACACAAACGAACGATCGCAATTCAATTATTATTCATCGCACGAAATATGATAAGATATAAAAGAAAAGGGAAGGAAAGAAAAGCGCCTCGAGAGACAACAAAATAACCATAGAAAATACGAGTACATATATATATATATATATACACACTTGAAAAGGATCTCTTCTCGGATTAACAACTTGTCGAAAGTTTCCAATGTTACAAGCCATATCGTTAGCATTTATTGGATAAAGTGTAATCGCGAGGATGAATGTTAGTAAATCGCTTTCGAGTCGTTATTAAGAACAGAAGAATGTTCCCGAGTATCGGCTCGCTGGATTTTAGTAGCTTCATCGGCTTGTTATCGATCACAACCTACTAACGATGATCCCTCAATGACGAATAATGATAGGGGAGCTTAAAGGACCGTCCGTCCGTTGCAAAAAGGTTGCGGGCGCCGTTGTGATATATCATGCTCTCGAACATGGTACCCTGTGTCAAACAGGCGGAAGGAGAAAGGATTTTACTACGATTGATCGTTACTCGAGCAAAACAAAGAGATCATAACGAATCGTGTCTTACGTGTGCGGTGGTTAATAAGTAAGGTGACTATACTTGTATTACATAGTGGGTACATTCACGTGTGCAAAGTGTAGCAGACGTAAAAATTACGAAAAGGAGAAAAAAAGGATAATTTACTTGACAGAGAGGGTAATTGATAATTTCGATTTTATGGATTTTTCGTGTCGATGTGTGACGAGAATAAAGTTTCGGGAGAAACAAAGCGTCTTCCATAGATATTCGATGTGTACGAGTAAATTATTTGATGCTTCACTTTTATTTCTTTCTTCTTGTTTTTTTTTTTTTTTTTTTTTCCTCACAATATCGAAGTACGGATACGCATTACGTCGGTGCTATACATTTTTTTATTTATCCAACGTAATACTTAGCGGATGATCGCACTACCATCCGTCCTTTTTAACATATTCCATACGTTTATCTCTACAGTCATTTATATGTGCGAATGTGTGTGCGTGCGTGCGCGCACGTGTGTGTGTGTATGTTTGTGTATGGCGTGTGTGCGCATACATCGAAGGAAAAATGTTAAGTTCGAAGTAACTAAAGCTTTAGCGTTATAACGTGGCAACGCGGTACGAAAGCTAAGCAAAAATTTTGCCTTAAAATATTTTTAAATTAAACTATAGACTAAGATTACTCTGTGTATAAAACGTTTTACGACACTCCACAAGCTACAAAAGAAGTACACTAAGAAAATTTATCGAACGTTTATCAATGGCTCGATCAAATTTACATTTCCTTTGGATATATTTTTTTCTACTTTTTCTTTAGCTTTTATGTCAAATATCTTGTTCTTGTTTGCTGTTATTATTAGTAATTTTTCTTTTTTTTTTTATTAATTTCCTTTTCTTCATTGTTGAATTAATTTGTAAATTATTAATTTGTACTTAACGAAAGCATTATATATATATATATATATATATATATATATATATATATATATATATATATATATATATATATATATATATATATATNCGAATTACATACATAACTGTATTGTTAAAACAATTTTTATAATTGGAAAATGAGACGCATAAATTTTATATTTCGATAATTTATCTTCTTCCATGTTGATTATGTTTATAATCACAAAGTGTATACTTTTTAAGACATTTATTATTTTTATATATAATATATCAGAAACATGTCGTAAATTTTTTACATTGCATAAATCTAAACTTTTTCCTGAACAATGTTCATTGCTCCATATTATTTTTAAAATATGCCATTTTTCAAGTGCATTAAATTCAATGTTGGTAGTTTCCTTTTTGCAATGCGTTATTATATAGAATATTTTTAACAGCTGTACGTGTTCTATCATTAACGATGTTTAAATACAAATAAATGACGTAAATTTTTATTAATTACCAATATTTACCAATATGTCGCGAGTTCATTGAGAACTTTTATAAACAAATGCGAAATAATTGCGAATACCAATTCGACCTAACATGGAGAAACGTTCTGACTTAAAGATGAAAAAGAAAAAAAAATAGATTGATAGACGCAAACGAGAAGGGCCTAAGAAATACAATAGTGCAGAGTGAGAGAAATACGTATAACTTAACGATGTACTTAACGTGTAAACGAGTATCCTTATTTGTGATCCTAGTCATTTATGATGTTGATATAATTAAATAAAAAAAAAAGAAAAAAAATCAGAAAATTGTACAATGTAGGATAATATCGATACTACGTAGAAATAGGATTTATCAATGTGTTTAAAAAATATTTTGCTGGCCTCAAGTTAGAAAGCGTGTAATAGCCACCGTTTTTGCTGTGCATATCCTAATCGAAGTATACATATAGAGATTAATGCGAGTAGATTTTTAATAAGATAAACGGAATGAATAAAAATATGAAGCTCTCGTATCGTGAAAGCACTTGAATGGTAACGCTAATGCGCGGACGAATCATACGATATAATAATATAATGTGTGGATGTGCGCTCATTCTGATGAACGATCCATACACGTGCATATGCACACAATTTCAGGAAAGAAAAAAAAAAGTAACTGATCGAGACGTATGCGTGTGTGTGTATATATATACACGATATGTGTATGCGTGTGTATGTATGTACATGTGTATGTGTACACGGGTACGCGTGGGTGCGTATACATATATCTACATACGCACGATGGAGTATAAAGGTATGCGGGGGAGAGCACATAACATTTCGTGCGTGCGTATGTGTGTATTGTAAAGCGGCGCGCCTTGATAATTAACAAAAAGAAAATTATAGAAGAAGAAGAAGAATACGACGACGTATTTGCGTATAAGAATACTTGACTCTAACAATTTTGTTTTACATTGTCCCAATTAATAAACAGAATGTGCATGTGCCTGTGTCCTTTGCTTCTATACGATGCCCTTTCGAAATTTAACGCTTCTCACACACTTTTGTAGTGAAATTACCGCTTTGCATTTTGCTCTGGCTGCGATCCGACGAACCATTGTTCAAACTAATTTTGTCACTTTTTACACTTTTTTGTTTTTTTTCTTTCTCCCTTTTCTCTTCTGTCCGCGAGTATATCTTGTGCACATTTCTTTTGATAAAAGAGAAGAAAAAAAGAAAAAAAGAAATAAGATCATGATCTCGTGAGAGAAAAAAAAATTAACACGTGTTAATTTGCTGCAACCACGACGGTAACGTACCTGTTGGATCGTTATGCCATTTCGTAATACCTCATAGCGAAATATATTTTAAGATACAATTGGCATACCAATGTGAATTCCGCTAGTTTTTTGTTTCTCTGTTTTTCTTGAATTCAATTGAGCTCCTTCTTTATCTTTTCCTTTGCCTAACACGCCCATCGACCGCTCATTGTACTCTTGCCTCGCTCTTGAACAACCAAATCTTTTTTTTAGTTTTTGTTGTTAAATTTTCTAAAGGAAATTAATATTTATTCCAAATATTCAAGGGACGTAATATATTTTTCGTTATTTTAATAAATGTGTTGTGCTGACATATTTATTATAAAGTGTATGTATGTTACGTTGATAGAATATTGATAGAATATTTTATCTTATGCTGAAAGGAAGAAAAAGCAAATTGTCACGAAATTATCTTATTGAAATAAAATAAAATATATTAAAATTATGTCGAACGTTGATATTCACGATGAAAATAAATATGTTGGAAGAAAATACTGATTATAGACAAAAAAAAAAAGAAAAAAAAATACATTTAGATAGTTTTGTTAAAAATCAAGTGATAAAAGCATCAACATACATACGTACATAGATATACTCATACATATATATAAACATTTTCGATGAGCATGGCAAGGTATAATATTGCTGTGAATGACGGCGCAAAAGGGCGTCTTAATATGTTAAAATTTCTTAATAATAAATTACATTTGACTCGGCATATTCGATATCAATTATCAGGTAACTTCAATGAATTTTGACAAGGTTTCCTCTGCCTTTCAGGGGCCACCAGGATTAGACGGCATGAAGGTGAGCAATCCTCGGGGAGACCCGTTTAATCATACATTATATTTATGATTTTTGGATCCTCGTTCACTACGCTCACACTACAATTTCATCATTCAGGCATAGATTAAGCTGGTTACAAACTTAACGGTATCGCTTCAACGTATTCACACAGACTGTTAGTATTCGTTATGTTATCTTCATACTTACAGGGTGCGCAGGGAGAACCAGGCACAAAGGGAGAAAGAGGGGATCCTGGCCTACCTGTAAGTATCTCTCTCTCTCTCTCTAATCGATTAAATTAACAATCGACCGTTAACCCATCGTGTTACATTCCCCTCTTAAAATTTTAAATAATTTCTACCTCTACCAACCTCTTCGTTTAACAACTTCCCTGAATCGCTGTCGCGTGAAATCTAAACCGTTCAATTCCGTTTCCGATGTTCAACGTGAATCCATACTATCTCTATCCAACTATTTAACCGTATCGAGCGATATTTCATCCGGCTGAAACTCGATTACACTGTCGTCGAGACACCAACAGACACATTCTGTTTATCCCCAGGGTACCGATGGAATTCCTGGCGCGGAGGTACAGTGGCATTCGATTATCGCTCGCCCCTCGGTGTGACTGCGACACACAGTCTAACCAGCCCGGGGTAACGACGATACATCTGCCTGATCTACCCCGGGGACTGCCCCAAAATTCGTCTCTTTACTTCTTTTGCACGAGAAAGGAGGGGGCTGAGATTAAGTTTTGCGCCTTTCTCCCTCTTTACACCGACGATAATCTGCACGATTTCTTTATTCTTGCAAAAATATTCTTTCGATTTGACACGATACTTGCTACTCACAAGTATTTCGTTTCGTTTCGAGATCGCAACGTATTTCCATACTTCAAAATTCCATGGTTTGATGAATTAAAAAAAAAAAAAAAAAAGAAAAAACTGAATTTAATCGTTTAATCATACGCGTTGAAGCCTTGCAATTGAATTTCAAGTTAAAGCAATTTAAAAAGACAAAAAAAAAAAAAAAAATAGGGCGTCAGAAAATATGGATATAAATATGTGGAATTAATAGTCAGAGAATTATTTGTTAAAGAGCCAAGTATTATATATTTTCTGAAACATTGTTATCGAGATTGTTACAAGTAATCGTCAATTTATTCTTCAAATTTTTAATAGCCAATTCATTTTTCAATTCAAAGTAATCGACAAGATCGTCATAAATGTGCGAATACTTGAAATTTTAGAAATTCTAGAATATCGAGTCAGAATTCAACTGAAAAAACTAAGATTCCTAAGATTTAATCTCGAAGAGAGGGAGAAGCGCACAATCCTCTCCGTTTAAATACCCAGATTCTAAAAGGGTACACAAACTGAAAGATAAGCAAACTAATTAATCGAAGTTGTAGCGTAAACGGGAAAAGTAAAAATTGTTGAAAAAGTTGTAGCTTTACGTTGCTTGCTTCTTTTTTTTCACTAGTTCATGCATTTGTGATCGTAGTCACATGTTATGCCTTTGAAAGCAAGTTTCGCATAAAAATGTATAACAAAGAGAAAATGTTCTTTACCGCAATACGTATCGTGCATGTAGAAAAGAAACGAAGAAAGGCACGACCGTCACTTAACGAATAAATTCTTTGACGTACCAATTCCAGGGACCGAAGGGAGAGAAAGGTGCTAAAGGCGAATCTGTGAGTATTGATGAAATTCGACTATCAGTTTTAAATAATTGGACAAGGAAATTCGTAGTTTGGCGAGCGAATAAACGCTCATAAACGACAGTTTAACGACAAACGTTAGTCGTCTGGATGGACAAGTGATCTTGAAAAATTTTCAATTCGGAAATTCATTGCTAATATTTCATTCATATTTACTGCGTTATCATTGCGTCATCATTACCAGTTAATATCATGATCATAAATGTTTACTACTACGGCGTCACTGCTAAGACTAATTACTACTTTGTATTACGATATTTAGTAATGTCACTAAATCCAAGTGTGTGATCGTTCAAAAATTATGCTATAGAAATGCACCAATTTAACATTCGCTAACTAGTTCTACTGAAATGTTTGTAGCACAAAGTACAATTGATCTTTGATTAGAAATAATATGAAACTCGAATACCGAATTCAGGGATGATTTAGCTGTGCATAACGCATGCAATAGAAACACAAAGTATTTCTGCATTTTCGTACATCTTCGTATTGTACTTTTCTACATGTCCTATTACATATCACAACCCTTGAATAGAGATCATCGAATTCGCGGAACAAAAAATTCACATTTCTTTCCTTCAGTGATACATATTCTCATGTGATATACACGTATTTATATATACTACGTATGCTGCCACCAGCGTATAATGAAAGCGTGACTATATACACGCTGATTGTTAATAACATCCTTAGAAATCCTTAGTAACAATTAAAGGTATGAAACGAAAACTTTATATATTCGAACAAAAAAAAAAAAAAAAAACAGAAAAAAAAGAAAAAGAAAAGTCGAAACAAGCGAAAGTACACGGTTTCAAGTTTAAGACAGAGAATATTCTCAATGCCTTTTTCTTGAACATTGATGCTCAATTGCGTATTTTGCACAATCAATCGAATATTACTATGCATAAAGAGATTCTTTTTGTATGCCTGGCCTTTTTTGCACGTCCGCGAAAATACCTGCTTGTACACCATTTAGACGTTAAAACATTTTTATGGTATGAATACAGGGACCGCCGGGGAAACGCGGTAGGAAAGGCGACAAAGGTAACAAAGGAGATCAGGGTGTACCCGGGCTAGATGCTCCATGTCCATTAGGGGCCGACGGACTTCCGCTAGCAGGATGCGGTTGGAGACCACCCCAGGTATCTCACATTTTCCCTATTCATTTCAATTAATTCTTGTCGGCTCGAACAAGCCCGAAATAGACGACTTCCTGTTGCGTACTTTCTCACGTTTTCTGTCCCCTTTTTATCTGTATTCCTAATTGTAATAGATATTCCCACCGAATACTCGAGAACGTCTCGTCTTTAAACAGATAATAAATTGAACGTACAGACGACGAAGATAAAACATTTGGTCATATTTTAAAACATTAAGTAAACATAAATTGGCGCGTCAGGATTTTTCGCAACCCTGGCAGAACATTTTGTACAAATAAATCTGTCTTTAATATTGATTGAATTCTCTATATAGTGGCTTGGCTGGATATGTTTGTTTTTATTCTCTGAGAAATCTCTTTAACGGGGGAAAACAATGCGAGAAGAAAAAGATGTAACGAGTGAAATATGAATTACTCGGAAGGAAAATTGAAAAAAGAACTGAAAGTAGGTAGAACGAACGCTTGGATTCTCGTATGTGCTTAGCAGGACATCACTAGCACCTCGATACCAGCTGTCGAAGGTCCTGAAACTTCAGAAACGGATTACGAGGAACCAGAAGAGGACTACGAGGAGTATACGGATCCGAACGCAAATCTAGCCGAGCAATAATTGCTCATTGTGCGCTGCCCTAATCACTACCAACAACTACCACAACTACTACCACTACCATCACCACTACAACCACCAAAACCACCACAGCCATCGCCCTCATCACTCGTCTCACCTTGCTCTCCTAAACTAACGTGGTCCTGGTAATTGCAAATCCCGTAGTTATACTAACGTTGTGTGCATGCATAATCAGCAGAACACCACGCTCCTAAATAACAAAAATGATTTAGAAAAATGTCTTGTAACCTTGTTCCTCCTCAGTTTCTTTTTTTTTTTTTTTGTGTT